CATCCGAAGTGCAATCAGTTGATCCAGTTCCCCCACTATTGCTATCTGCAAGATGTGGAAGCTGTGAAGAGAAAGCTCTACGCACAACCCAGTCAATACAGTTCCTCAGCCTGTGATAATCCCCGCTATCCAACCGTCACCCCCCCCCCCCCCCCCCACCCCTTCCTCTCATCAACCACCCCCATACACGCCATAGCAACTAGATGTTGCACTTACCAATCCAACCAGTCGTTACAGATTCCACCAGAGTTGACCGTCTCTCAGTCATTTGCCGAACCCATCCCATGCGGTTACACTGTCACATTTGACCTGTTACGAGCCTACCCTGATCTGTCAATCCCACATTGGCCACAAATTGCCCCATAGTTAGAGTTCGCCACTGAGCCATAATGCACCTGAGGGTACTGCGCAATGGTGGTTATCGCATGACAATCCCCCTGAATTCAACCTTACCCCTGTCCTTCCCCGAACCACCTCTCTACAGCCCATGGCAACTAGCCGTTGCACTTGCAGAGCAGATTCACCCAGTCGTTGCAGGATTCCACCAGAGTTGACTGACACCCGCAGTCGTTGGCCGATCCCATCCCACGCGGTTACCCTGTCACGTGTGAGCCGTTACGAGCCTACCCTCACTTGTCGATCCCGCACTGGCCGCGAACGGCCCCGCTGGCGTAGGCGGAATTCGCCACCATGCCATAATGCGCGTCAGTTTTCGCCGCAAGGTTGTCGATCGCATGATCCATGGCCGTCCCATCTGCAGCAGTCAGGCCGCTCATCGCGATCCACGACCCGCGAAACACGTAGTTGTACCCGAGAGGAGCGGAGGATTTCGGGAACCATGAGACAATCCCGAGGCTTTGGGACCGGGACGCGTTTTTCCAGGAGACTTGCGCGCCGAAATCGATCACTGTAGACCCGTCCTCGCCCTCGTAGCCTGAGTTGATCACGGCTGCAATGGGGATTTCAGGTTCCTTGAGCTTCACAAAGCCCCCGTAGTAACCGTCGAGATCACCATCGTCTCTGCAGGAGGGAGGAAAGAGGGGAAGAAAGAGGGGAAGAAGAGGGGAGAAGGGATCACATGCGCTTTCAATCAAGGTTCCTTGAGCTTGACAAAGCCCCCGTAGTAACCGTCGAGATCGCAGTCAGCTCTGCGGGAGGGTAAAAGGGGGAGAGGCGGGGATAACCGCTGCGATGGGAACTTTTGAGTCTGGAGCCCGTGAGCTTGACACAGTCGCCATAGTACCCATCGAGATCACCGTCGTCTCTGTGGAGAGGGAAACAAAGATTGCAACGCGAACAAGTGTAGGCTTATTCTTAACGAGGATGGGGTGGTAATGAGCGAGGTGCACGTTCACATCGTAACCGTGATGAGGACGCATGAAGAAGCAAGGGAAAGGACAAGCGCACCTCATATAAACGAGGATGGAAATGAAGCCAAAGGCATGATCCTCCCCAATCTTGTTCCCCTTTGAGTCCCTTCCCCTCATGACACACGTAATAGCCGCTGCAGATGGGTTACAAACAGGGAGCGAGAGGTGGGAGACGGGGATCAGAGCTTGAACATTTGTTGCTATTTTAATTAGTATTGTTCCCCCCTCATGAGGCCCGTTATGGGCACTGCAGAGGGGACTCCATGAGGGGAAAGGGAAGGGTGAAGTGAAAGGGGAGGGCAAAGAAAGTAGGTACTTTTCTAGCCAGTGTAGAAAGTGTAATCTGCATCTTCTCGGGAAAACCCTTATGCTTCTAAGAAGATCCCAGCATACCCAATGGAGCGATTTAATTTATATTTTTCTCGGTATAACCCTTCATCACGAGGTAAATGGCTTGGCATTCACAAAAATCACTGTAAGGAAGGTCAGAACTACCATGTCATGCCTGCCCAATGGGGAAAGGTCAATGTCCCAGAACCATAGATGTCACACACGTATACCACTCAAAGGAAGAGAGATAGGAGGGAAAGGGGGGGAAGCGGGGGAGGGGAGGGGAAGCCTAGCATAATCTTCGTGTGTGAATCGCACGGCTTACTATTCAAGCCACTGAGACGCAAGACAATGCGACGCAGGCCATTGTGAGCCGACTTACTGTGCAAGCCGAGGTAGTTGGTCATCTTATCGGCAGATTGCTTGGCAACGTAACTTTTTGCTTCAGTCCGCATCCGGTTCATCCGAAGCTGCTTCAGCTTCGCCTGAAATCCCGCGTAATACTTGTTGCTCTGTAGCCCCGCTGTGAGCTGTTCCAGCCCTTCTTGTAACGGGTTGGCTGCTGCATTCACGGGTGCTGCAAGAGGGAACGGGAGGAGAGACGCGGTGGGGAGGTAGTGGGGGGTTGTGAGTGGGTGGAACGGTTAAGAACGGATGGGTTGACAGCACCCTTACTGCAGGGTTGATAGCCGCGTGATAGCTGAGCGATAAACGCGCAATGGCCGCGCGATAGCTACGCAATAACCGCGGAATAGCCGCGCACGGAATGAGCCGCCTTATAACCTAGCTTGAACGTTAGTACGAATTGATATAGCGTGATTCTTAGCAATGAGATGCGAACATACACGTCCCGAGAAGACATAGAGCGACCATGACAGCGACGGCGACGGAGACGAGCACGAAGCGCCTCATGCTGGCGCGGCGTGATGCTGAATGGAGCCCCCCAATGTCAAGTCGAAGAAGCGAAAGAATACTTCCGATGGAGCCGATACGAATTTTATTACTAGGTCGCGCGCTCTGGGGGGAAGTAAACAAGTGATATGTTTTGTTCTTTTTTTATCTGGGGCAGCCTACGTCTGACCCACGGAAGGTTCGGATATTCGTGACAGTTTTTTCACACGGGACGATTCGCCAAACGCGCGCATGAAGGGACGGGCGTAGAAGATTGCCGTGGATGGCGAAACTTTATGTGCTATGTAGGTGCGGCGATTCGGGAATGCGAAGAATGAAACCAAGTGATTAGCTAAGAGAATCGCGCTCATGCAGTGAGTGACACGGACGGTCTTGATACTGTATCACCTTCATTCACTCACCACAACAAACTATTGTTCCCCTTGGCAAGACAAGGGCAAAGAACATGGGCAAGACAAACATTGGCCCTGTTCGATAGCAGGGTGACCCCAACTCACCATGCACATCTCGCTCAGCTCCACGGGCACAGAAAACCAGACTGAGGCCGAGGCGATACGGCGGCGGTACAGTATGCCGAAGCTAGCGTCAGTAGGTGGCCGTACACACCCACGCTATGGTTTGGCGGCGCGAGTCTTAACCACCCTTGGTTGGCAACAATACGACTTGGGCAGGTGAATAAGGGGTTGGGTGGGTAATGAAGGGGTGCTTCGCGGAGATATACGAATGATTCTGGACCGAAGGTACGTTCGGGTGAGGCTTCGCGAAATCGTCCAGCGCTGCGCCGGGGCCATCGCTCCGCCCACAATAACATTTATCGCCTGCGTTCCCCCTCCAGCATACCAATGTTCCCTTGTCGACAGGCCTGTCGAAGTTCCTGGGGCCCATACTTGGAGCCCCCAGCTCCTCCCTATCTGACCCTGTATTGGCCGTAGCTGAGTGTTTTGGCGCTCTTAACGGTCACGGGCGCAGGCCAAAGTGAAAACTTGATATCCGGGCTTGCACTCACACTATCTTAGCTAAGGGAAAGGTCGGCTGCTCCAAAGCTGACTTAGAGATATCACAAACACGGGATTGGCTAGAAAACGCCAAGGGAAAAATCCCCTTGGCGTGCTCTCGTGCAACCTAAGGAGAAAAGGGGGGGGGGGGGGGAGTGGGGGGGTCAGGCAGAATTTCTTTGGGGGGGGGGGTCCTAGAGCCGGAAATCAAAACTTTGTGGGTGGGGAAGGCCTGGTTGGAGCACTTAACACATCCGGGGAAGGGTCGAACGAAGCACTTAGTGGCACGGGTACAGGGCGATCCTAACACTTTATGCAATCAAGCTGGAGCGAAAGTAGCCCGGAATTTCAGGGCATTAAGGGCATATGCCCGTCAATCGACAGGCCTGCTTGGGATATTTACAAGCCGAGCCCTGGTACATCTGCCCCGGCTAGGTAGGCCAGACCACAACCAGCGCCTGTAAGTTCGGTATGGTCTACACCAATGGTGGGTGTTCTTAGCCCCAGAAAAATTAACCCAGGCAGAACCGAGCCAAACCTCCTCGATGAAAATCGACGACCGAAAGCATCACCCAGTGCCATTCATGTACACATGATGCCTGATTGAGCCCCTCCCGGTTGCCTTGTGAAGGGGGCGTATAAGCAGTATCGTGTTTCTCGCATAAGTTTCGTCAATTCGCAGCTAGCTAAAAAGGATTCGCAGGTGCTTATGTAAAGGATCTGTAACCTTATTCGTTGACATTTTGACTTCAGTCTCTTCAGTTTGACTTCGGTCTGTTCGATACAATTGGTTCATAGCCACGCGACGCGCTTGTACCGTGGGTGCAACAGGCTGGGGAAAAAACCTCGGGTGCAGCGTTTCCATCCGGTACAGAGCGAACTCGCGTGCATGGGGTGGGCATCATCTGTAGCTTTCTGCTGCGTACGATTGGTTCGAAAGGAAATTGGTCAACCACAAATTGGAAATTTGTGCCCCAAGCCCCAAATGCCAAATTGCATATGCGACGCGGAATTTGTGGTTGACCAATTTGCAGGCCCATGCACTAACGCATACAATAGAGTTTCAAATTCAGTCATCAATGCTGAAGTGACAGCTGAATGAAAGCATATCAACTGTGACAGATATACTCAGTTCCTAAGGTCAACTCAAATGTATATCCATTCAGACTCATGCCATCTGATAATGGAGACCCTCTGCCCAACGAAATCTTCCTGCATATGCCTTATAAAAACCCGATGTGCCACAATACCCCCCTCCCCCACTCCCCCCCCCCCCCCCCCCCCCCCCTGAACAGGCCTTTGATCCCTTGCAACTAGTCGTTGCACTTCCCTGCAGACACCAGCAGCCATTGGCCGATCCCAAGCGCTTACTCCATTGATCCACCCCGAGCAGTTAGAAGCCGATTCCCGACGTGTCGACCCCGCATTGGCCGCGAACGGCCCCGCTTGGGAAATTGGAATTTGCCACTGCGCCATAATGCGCCTGAGTCTTCTTCCCAATGGCCAGTATCGCATCGGAAAGAACAGATCCGTCAGCAGCAGTAAGCGCGCTCATTCCGATCCATGACCCCCGGAAGTAGTAGTTGTACCCGAGCGGAGCGGTGGATTTCGGGAACCAGGAGACGATCCCGAGGCTGCTGGATCGGGACGCGTTTCCCCAGGTGACTTCGGCACCGAAATCGATCACTGTGGACCCGTCTTCGCCCTCGTAGCCCGTGTTGATAACAGCTGCGATGGGTTTTTCAGGGTCCTTGAGCTTGACAAAGCCCCCGTAGTAGCCGTCGAAATCACCGTCGTCTCTGCGGGGAGGGAAAGAGGGGCGGACAGGGGCAAACAGGGAGGGTGAAAGGGGAAGAGAGGAGAACGCGGGATTTCAGGGTCCTTGAGCTTCACACAGCCCCCGTAGTAGCCGTCGAAATCACCGTCGTCTCTGCGGGGAGGGAAAGTGGGGGCGGACAGGGGCAAACAGGGAGGGTGAAAGGGGAAGAGAGGAGAACGCGGGATTTCAGGGTCCTTGAGCTTCACACAGCCCCCGTAGTAGCCGTCGAAATCACCGTCGTCTCTGCGGGGAGGGAAAGTGGGGGCGGACAGGGGCAAACAGGGAGGGTGAAAGGGGAAGAGAGGAGAACGAGGGATTTCAGGGTCCTTGAGCTTCACACAGCCCCCGTAGTAGCCGTCGAAATCACCGTCGTCTCTGCGGGGAGGGAAAGAGGGGCGGACAGGGGCAAACAGGGAGGGTGAAAGGGGAAGAGAGGAGAACGCGGGATTTCAGGGTCCTTGAGCTTCACACAGCCCCCGTAGTAACCGTCGAAATCACCGTCGACTCTGCGGGGAGGGAAAGTGGGGGCGGACAGGGGCAAACAGGGAGGGTGAAAAGGGAAGAGAGGAGAACGCGGGATTTCAGGGTCCTTGAGCTTCACACAGCCCCCGTAGTAACCGTTGAAATCACCGTCGTCTCTGCGGGGAGGGAAAGTGGGGGCGGACAGGGGCAAACAGGGAGGGTGAAAGGGGAAGAGAGGAGAACGCGGGATTTCAGGGTCCTTGAGCTTCACAAAGCCCCCGTAGTAGCCGTCGAAATCACCGTCGTCTCTGAGGGGAGGGAGGGAAAGAGTTAGGGGGAAAGAGGGGGGGAAGAGGGGGGAGAAGAGGAGGAGAAGAGGGGAAGAAGAGGGGGAGAAGAGGGGGAGAAGAGGGGGAGAAGAGGGGGAGAAGAGGGGGGAGAAGAGGGGGAGAGGGGGAGAAAAAGGAGAAAACGTATGAAGAACAAGGATGGATGAGCTCTTTATAAACGATATGCAATGCAAACAGGTGTAAACAATGAGAATAAATGAGGATGGGGTAGTTTCAAACGAGCGCGCATGATGATAACGAGGATGCAGTAGCAATGACAAGCGCACCTCTTGAAAAGGAGGATGTAAAAGAAGCCGAAGGCATGGTCCTGCCCAATCTGGTTACCCTGCGAGTCCCTCCCCCTCATAACGCACATTATGGCCGCTGCAAGGAGGGAGGGGGTGTTTGGAAAAAGAGAACAGGAGGGGAGGGGATTGGAGACAGGAGGGGATGGGATTGTGAGTCCTTTCTCCTCGTGTCTGCAAACCGCTTGGCTAACTGTGCAAGCCAGTGTCTTGGCGGGCTTACTGTGCAAGCAAATGCGATTGACCGACTTGCTGTGGTATTTGCCCAACATATTTCGCATATTAGCGTAGCTGGCTAACTTGTGGACGGTTTGCAATGTAACGAGATGATTTTTTTTTTAAGTCGTGGCTTTCGATTCGAGTCAAAAGTCACCTTGCGAACTGTGCTCATGGGTACTATTACCCACAGTTGACAGCTCCGGAAACACTCAGCCCCTCATGTAATTGGCCGATTCACTGCAAGCGATTGTAATTGACCGACTCACTGTGCAAGCAAAAGAAATTGCCGGACTTACTTCGCATCTTAGTGTAGCTGGCCATCTTGCTGGCGGATTGCTTCGCCACGTAATTCTTCATTTCGGTCCGCATCCGGTTCATTTGCAGCTGCTTCAGCTTCGCCTGAAAGCCCCTGTAATACTTGTTGGTCTTCAGACCCGCTGTAAGCTTATCCAGCCCTTGCTGTACCGGGTTGGCCGATTTCACGGGCACTGCAAAGGTGGAAAGGGAGGAAGGGCGCGGTGGGGAGAGGGTCGGAGGGGAGAGATGGGGGGTTGTGAGTTAGAGGAAACGGAGTCCGTTGAAACGGATGGGTTGAAAGCATTGGTAATGCAGTGGCGTGTTGGGTGTGGGGTTGGGTGGTGTAGGGGCCATAAGGAGCGTATGGGGTGGGGGGGTAAGGAGGGGGAAGGACGGGGGACGATAAGACATCCACACAAGCACCGGGACGGCATCAAGCTTGAAAATGAAGCAGAAACGACTCGTTTCAAGCAGCGCGTGATGAGCTTTGACGCGTCGCGGATAAAGCATAAGAGAGTCGATACAAACTGAGACTCGGGAGCTTATACGTATAAGCACACATGTACCCAGTTACGACTGCCGTTGTATGCTTCTATAGTGTACTTAAATTAATATCAAAGAAATAAATACATAAATAAAACACAGCAAGTAGCAATAATCCAGTATGCTTCACGCTAGAACGGGGAAATATTGCGCGATCCATTAACAAACGTGTGAAGAAAACATTAACACTCCTCGCACTTACTTGCTGGAAAAAGGCACTATAGAGCAGCGAGACGTGACGCAGCTGTTATGTAGCTGACTTGACGTGACTGCAACCTGACATGGCGTGACGTAGCGTTACTTAGCGGCCTCCGTCACATATTAGCGTACTTACGCGTCGCGAGAAGGCATAGCGCGACGGCGACGGAGAAGAACACGAACCGCCTCATGATGCTGGCGGCGCGGCGAAACGTTGAATCGCGGCAACCAACGTCGAGCCGAGGAGACCAAAAAGACTTCTGAATCGAAGTTTGAACCGGAGTATTTTAGCAATCAATAGCGCGCTCGGGAAGAAGAGCCAGGCGTGTCAATGTATATTATTTGTTGGCAGCTGAAATCATCTGGGAGGCCCCCCCGACGGTTCGGATCAAGTATTCGTGAACTGCCAAACGCGCGGATAAAGGGACTGTTGTTGAAAAATGCTGTCGGAAGTGTGCTGACAGAAGTGAAGCGTAGAAACGAGATAAGGGGTTTGCCGTTTTACAGTGACTGGATGGAGTCGAGCACAGCTTGAAATGACAAGACACACCCTGGAAGGGTCCTGGTACAACCACAGGGCAAGACTGGTAGCAGTTCAAGGGACGGATGGTGTGCCACATACACAGGAAATGCGTGGTGTACGGTTGGGATGGGGTGTGGTGGGGTGGGGTGGGCGTGACGCGCGAAAGTGCGGCGATATTTTTCAGCCAATGAACGACAGGTGCATTGGGAAGCCTCCATTCTGGTTCGGCTGGCGGCCCGAGGTTTACCCAGCCTTGGTCGCAGCTAGGGAGGGGTAGATGTGGGCATCCGTAGGGGGTGCCCCACCAAGGGAAACAGCTGGCTCGTTTGCGTGTGATTCGGAGAATCGGGACGGATTCCATGTTCAGGAGGAGGCTAGGAGTTCCGCCGCGAGTAAGCCAGTCGCTGCGCCCGTGGGTTGGCTCCGCCCGCCAGGGCTTTCAGAATGGAAGACCGCCCGTCACCCCCTCCCGGAATACAACTGTATCAACGCCAGCTTCCCCCCTACCTCTTCCCCCTCGAATCCCCGAACCTCCTCTTCATTCTTTGCAGCAATTCTGTCGAATCAACTGTCGCCGCATGGAAGAGTAGGCTCGAGATCGAGAAGGCGGCGGGCGCTTTGGTTTCCTCCTACAGCATATTCCCCAGCTAGGCAAGCCTTGGCGCCCGTACGTCTGGGATGGTCCCTCCTCTGATTGGCTGTCTCAAGCTTCGGAAGCTTCACCAAGCTTTGCCGAGGCAGTAACGAACCGAGCTGAACCTCCTCAAAGTTGATTGAAAATAGATGACCGAAAATCGTTCCCAGCTTTCGGTAACGAACGATTGGGCAAGGGGAATCGCGAACCAAACCGAAATTGCTGCCTTGCAAGTGGAAAATTGTACACGTACAAACCACCCATTTGCAAAAAAATCAACTGCCGTTTTTCAGCCCTTCTCGAAGCAGAAGACTCCCGAACCGATTTTCAGCCCCTGCCCTGATCCACTGCTCCGGAAGTTGCAGAACATCCGCGGTGGAGGCGTGGCGAGAGTATTCGCTCTACGGCATCAAACGAAACACTTCATCTTGATGCAGTAAATTATGTAGCTCTCAAATACAGAGAAAGTCGCTGTACAGAGTGTTCTACAAAAACATCTCATCACTATAATAAACAGAATCACACCACACATACACATTATATAGCCACCATACTTAGTGCTATTCTTCCGGGCTACAACAAATGACACCCTGTTCAATCTCAGTTCCTGCTCCTGAGCCTCTGAATCCTCCTCTTCAGGAAGTTAGCCACCTTATTTGCAAGGGTCACCTTCTCGGAAACAAACTGGCCACGAGCAGCGCCGTCCGGATTTCCAGGTGTTCCAAGGAGCCCGTAGTAACCATCTGGAGCATCCATCATGGCATCCACCACCTGCTTGTATGTATTCCTGTTAGCAGCAGTCCTCGTACCCACATTATACCAAATCCCTGTAAATGCATATATGTAACCCACAACACCAGGATCCATGGGTGGCAACCCCTGAGATTGGAGAGCGAGATTGAACACCACTGCTCCCTGCTCCGTCAGATTCTTCCACGTGGCATCAGATCCGAAGTCCAACGCCACGTCACCTGTCTCCCCCGCGAACCCAGTGTTTACGGTAAGTGCAGTTGGGTAACCTGGGCTAGGCACGCGAACAGCAACAGCGTAGCGAATATGATAGTCGTTCCTGATCCTGGAAAATCCCAAAACCACGGGGAAACAGAGGAGATAAAAGCAATGAGAAGCGGGAATTTAATCAGGTGGGATGAGAGCGCACAGCACCATGTGGCTCCGGCTCGTATAGTACTGAGATGGTAAAAGCTGAGTGGCATTCATTGAAACACAATCATTGAACAGCAGTGGTGTTCACAACAGGGACAAGGGTTGTACCGTGAGAGAGAGTGAGAGAGAGAGAGAGAGAGAGAGAGAGAGAGAGAGAGAGAGAGAGAGAGAGAGAGAGAGAGAGAGAGAGAGAGAGAGAGAGAGAGAGAGAGAGAGAGAGAGAGAGAGAGAGAGACTCATAAGGGGGATGAATGAATACCTAGGGCGCGGATTCTATATCAGTAAAAGATGCGGCACGAGAATGATGGATGAGCTTGTAAAATTACACCCTTCCACCCTGACACCTTCGCGTGTGCGAATTCGAGTGGTGGTTCGAGTTCCAATGCGAGTGCGAATATTACTTGAGGATGCCGAAGGTGAGGACTCCAGCAGTCGTTGGATCGCCGCTGAGCTCCGAACCATCCATGGCTGCCGCCAACCCAGCTGCAAGGACGGCCACGATCCAGTTCCGACATTAAAGAAGAGAAAAAGGGGAAATGTATAAAATAAAAAGTTTGAATGAACTGTGATTGTCAAAGAGCTCGTGAATTCTGAAATAGAATTCGCCAAGAGCTTGTAAGCGTCCATCAGTTGCTGATCGTACAACGAATGTGTTCAAGCCGCTTTTTTATTAGATAGATGAAAAAAAAAAAAAAAAATCGAAGCGTACCATACGGATATCCAATTCCCTTGGAAAATCTGTCTTGAATCCAGCCGCTCACGCTCGCCAGCGCTCTTCGTTGCGCCACAAGGGGGCTGTCCGCGACTGTCGCTGCGGCTCCAGGGCGTGTTGCATGGCATGCTGGGTGAAAACAAAAACCAGGAAGAACAATAAAATCGTTAGAGAGGCTCGATGCAAACTCGGTTTAACGTTGATAGAACGCGATGCTTGCGTTTGGTGCTCGCGTTCTCGAGCTTACATGACACAAGTAGGAGAGCAGCCACCACCAGTGAGGTTACGGCAGGCCGGAGAGTCATCATCATTTTCCTCGTAGCGATAGCAAAAAGAAATGCTTGAAAGTGGCAGCAAAATGCAACTCGCAGGCCTCGTGCATTCCTTCTCTGCCCTTCACTTAGGAGTCTAGATTCAGACGCGCACGAAATCTTCTCAGCCAAGTGATGAGAATTCGAAGGTTGTCGAGTTGCTTATGTAGTAGCATCATGAGGAGCGTTGCGAGGAAAGCATTAGGTTGTGAGGAAGGGGAACGACAGAAGGGGTCCCGATCGGTGACATTTTGGTGGCTGGTCACGACATCGCGACCTCACGTTACCATTTTTGCGACAAATTAACTACTGTACGATGATATAGAATGGATGCTCAACGTCGTCCGATGTTGTCGAAGCTGACATGAGTGGTTGTCCCAGATGCACAATACGAGCCGCTGTCGCCGACAATGTCCCCATGTTTGTAGGCTTGCTTCACCCCCTAGGTCCAGGCTGGAAATTGCTGTCTTTGCCCAGCATGAAAATGGTTGAATTTCGATCGAGCAATTGCTTCGCTTCATTTTCAAGCAAGGAAGATGCGGTTCGGAGTGGGGATTGGCAAGAGTCGCCAATGTGTGTAACCACCAACACGAGAACTTGAGCTTTGCGCAAACATATCAACTTCGCTATGGTTGCAGTGTTCTGCCCCGTTGCGAGACTTTACCCAGTCAACCAATTTGTTTTCGTCTAGGGTGGATAGTCATGCGAAGATCCTAGCGACACGTGACGAAAGCAAATCGACCTGCAGCGTGTTGCACAGCAGATTCGGCATTATCTCTAACTAGCACGTTCTTCTTCGTGCTACCACCAAATGCACCGACCGACTCAGCCAGTTGGTGTGGTGGATTGCCTTACTTCCGGAGGAGGAATTTGCCTCACGCGACGTGATGTTTCTATCTTCTGGTCTGCTTTCTCCTCTCAACCACCAGCTCTACCAGTAAGTACGTAGGAAGAGCCAATGAAATCCTCTTAGTCGCGGCTTCGCGGCTTAGTTTTGGATGTCACGATCATTAAGCTGAGGCGTTCCGAGAACGAGCTGCTTATGGAGGATTCGCACAAAAGGTTAAAGTTTGACATAAGCGCATTCACATATTTTATTACCACGACGCCAAACATTTGACACAGCCCTCACGCCTATTTCGAATTCAACGACTAACGGCAGCTCCAGAAAAATCAGACTCTTTTCTATTTTGTTTCAAATGGAAAGCTTGAATCCAAGGAACTGCCCGCGCGTCGCCCCAGTCGCGTGCGCCGCGGAGGTCACCAACCCGTAGTACGAGCCAGCGCCGTCGTTAAACATGGCCTCGATAAGATCCTTAAGCGTGCCCGTCGCCGCGGCCTTGGTGCTCGCCTTCTCGTAAATGCCCTCGAAGCTGTAATCGAAGTGGTTTACAAATTGCCGGAAAACCGGGAAAACGGGGTTCCACGTGTCGTTCGTCCACGTGGCGTCGGCCGTGAAGTCGAATGCGAGCGTCCCGGCCTCGCCCTTTTTCCCCTTAAAAATACCAACGGTTGTCGGGTAACCTGAATCCTTGAGGTCGGCTTTGCCATTATAATATACGTTGTAATCGCCATCTTTCCTGTAAAACAAAGGGTTGAAAAACATCATGTCAGGTTACAGCTTACGTACCAGCTTGCGATCAAAACGTACAAAAACGAGGAAAAAAGGCAGGAATTATTATGTTTTTATAGATTCAAAGCTGTGACTTACGAGAAAATCGACATTCGAATAACTCCATGGTCCTTCTTGTTCCCGCCACTGACTTGACTCCCGCTCATGGGAGCGGCGAGAGTTCCTGAGACAGCCCGGCGACAGTTACGCGTCGAAAGCGGAAGAGAAATTCGTTAGAGAACGTGTGCTCGGAAGCAAACCACTCAAGATACCGCAGCGGAAACTGAAATATAGGAGTTCAAGCAGGATTTTGCAGAGTATCTTACCAGAGAATTTCCCCAAAGCGGCGAAGTCTTGCCACGAATACTTGCTTCGGTGACGAAGCTGCCTCCCCGGAACGGCGTTACCTGCACGTCACAAACTGAGATGCGTTACTGGTTGAACGTGTTGTATCACGTCTCGCAACAAAGCATCTGCCCTGTAGCTCAGAAATACCGCGAGAAGTAACAAAATTGCGGAGCTGAGAAGAATACGAGTGAGCGTCATACCATTTAATACGAGGCAGAACAACGCGGCGCAAAGCAGGAGACGCCTGACTGCCATGGTGTGCTTGCGAAGCGTTGAACTTAGAGGCAATGGAGTGCTCAGAATGGAGTGCACTTTTGTTGGAATGGTGGTGAAAGGCTTTCAGATGCGGATTTTATATGGGAAGGAGAGAGCAAGGTGTAGTCGACCCAGCATTGTGTAGACAAGGGGACAGAGGAACCAAGTATGTTGGCGCTTCGGCGAATTGTCTGTTCGTAACTCTGTCGCCCAGCTTCGCATTATCATTGGTACGCATCGCAGAGGGTTTTGGTTTCTTGTTGTACCAGAGCGAAAGGCACATTCTGCGGCTCCTCGAGAAAGGTGGTTGTCGGCACCGCAGCCTAGGTTTGAGGTTATAGCTTCAACCGATTAGAACCAGTTGTAACACCCACGTTCGACGACAGGCGAAGACTAATGCGACATTTTCCCCCTGCTCTCCGAACCTGTACATTCGCAAGACTTAGGACACCCTTGTCGCATTTCGCATGCTGCGAGTGTTCTGTACACATGCCACGACAGCACGACGAAGCCTTGGTTTCTGATTGGCTTACGATTATGACGTCACCACACAGGATCCTCGCCGACAATGGAACGGCAAGAAGATGGGAAAATTTAAGAGGCACGTGTGGGCTAGTGTCTAAAACTTTTCCTCGCTAGAGCTTCATCCAGGATTCCGTATTAGTACTCAGGCAATTGATGTGTTGTTCATTCAACACAAGGGGTGAGGACAAGTGGAATTTGCTGATCTACTTGAATTAGTGACATAACTCCACCTCTAGCATGAGAAAGGATACAGTTGAGAAGTGATGGGAAGCAGGGATGTGGCAGGCGCAAAGAGCACTGGTAAGTGAATATATATCATTTTTCAAGAATTCTATGGACTTCCGTTGACGAAACAATTTTCTCCCTGACTCTTCCGCTTGCCATCCCACGCCGAATTTCTTCAGCATCTATCTTCATCCAATCTTCAAACGTCATAAATGGGCACATCCGCTGCTTCAAAAGAGCAACAAGCTCCGACCCTCCTCCTTTGCTAGCATCTGTGTTGGAAGATGTTGACGAAATGAACCCACTTGCTAGAGCGTCTTGTGCAATGCTAGAGACCTGGTTCGGGGAAGTAGACACAAGGGTAAGAATCAGCAAAAAAATATTGAAGGATGAAATTGCAATAGGGAAATCAGGATGTACCGGTGCTAGGGACGTCACAAGCGATTGAGCAACCAAACAGATTCAGGAGGACATGGAAGTCGGCCTTGGGAGGAGTTGAGGGGATAGGGAGGAGAGAGAGGGACTCAGCAAGGGAGATGCAGCAGTGAGGCTTCAATTGTGTTTGTAGAACATGGAAACAAACTTCAATTCAAGAGAGGCTCACCGTTTCTTCAGCGTCAATCAGGTTCGTGCCGATGATTTCTGTAGGGCCTCTCTTCAGCCACCTATTTGAGCCGACTCAAAAGCTGTTTTCCAGTGTATTTGTGAAACGTGGGAATGAAGGGCAATGCAAGAGAGAGGCTCAGAGGCTCACCGTTTCTTCAGCGTCAATCAGGTTCGTGCCGATGATTCCTGTGGGGCCTCTCTTCAGCCACCCAACCACATACAGGCCCGGCTCATACCGAGCCTCACTGGCAGGATCGGTTCCACTGGCTTGCAGCACACGGCCCAGCTCGTTCGGTACCGTGCCTAGAATGGGGCGGAAATGGAGGGACGTGGGGTTGCATGAGTGAGGGATGGGAGAGGATGTGTGGTGGAAGGGAATAAGCAGAGAAGGAGAGGTTGGAACCGGGAGGGGAAAGATGGAGGGGGGTGGGGAAGAATGGAGAAGGGAGGGGCAGGATGGAGAAGGGAGGGGAAGGAGGGAGAAGAGAGGGGAAGGAGGGAGAAGGGAGGGGAAGGAGGGAGCAGGCTTGTTTGGGTGGAGAGGTAAAGTGGTGGCGAAGGCAAAGAAGGGAAGAAGCATGGGAAGTGGTGGGGAAGACTTTTGAGTCGCCTCAAAAGTCAGCATGGGGAGTGGTGGGGAAGGGGAGAAGAGGAAATTAGAGAGACAAGTGAGCAAGAGGAAAAGGTGAAGGGAATTGGGGTGGGGAGAATGGTAGTGGTGTGATGCCTGCACGCAAGAATATAGTATTACTGGTCTGCACACGTGCACATGGACAGTGAAAGAACGTGCATGCACATGGCCAACACACTTACACACGTGGGGTACTCACCGCTGCGCTGGTTGAAAGGCAGCCCAGCAATTGGTAGAGAGCGGTAGCCTATGCTCTTGAACACGAGGCTGGAAGGGGGAGAGGAGGGTCCAGTACAGATGGCAGAGAGCAGGAGGCAGGGAGGTGTGGTGTGTGGGGAGGATTGCGTCACCTTTGCGAACTTTCAAAGAGGAAGTGAGCAGTGAGCAGCGACTGAAAGCGGACAAAGAAGAGCTTTAAGAGAGAGCAGAGAGTGGTAACGAGGGAGCAGAGAGCGGTGAAGAGAGAGCAGAGAGTGGTAACGAGAGAGCAGAGAGCGGTGAAGAGAGAGCAGAGAGTGGTAACGAGGGAGCAGAGAGCGGTGAAGAGAGAGCAGAGGGCCAGAGAGCATTATGCTCTTGAACACAGGGCTAGGAACGTGCAGTACTGATCATTGAACAACGGAATGCTGGGTTGGGTAAGCAGTACGGAAGATGGGGTGTTTTTGAGACGTCTCAAAAACACCCTTTCATCAAGGCTGGGATTGGAGGAACGTGCAGTACTGATCATTGAACAAAAGAATGCTGGGTTGGGTAAGCAGTACGGAAGATGGGGAGGGGCAGGGAGCAACGGGAACAGAGAGGTAGCCTGGCGGCATAACTCCGTTCCACAAATCAACCACTCTGATTCACAAAACAACCACTCTGAAACAACCACTCTGTTGCACTCTGGCTCCCACCCACATGACAGCACCCACCCACAAGGCAGGTCGGAGATCTCCCCAGTGCCCACTGCCCTCCGTGGCCCATCCTTGAAGTCCCCTGTACGCACGCTTACATGCAAGCAAAGAGTGGAAACAGAAAGCAACCAGTCTATGTAGAGAGAACTAAAAACCAGAGGCCAAAGCTTCTGTAACAGCTATCCATTCAGCATTTAAGAAAGTATGGACTGGCATAGAAGTATGTCCACAATATGGAATGCTGAATGGATGTAAGCCACCTTCTATTCTTCTCCATACGATACAAAAAGTCTCAATCGTATGGGCCCGAATCGACCAAATTGTGTCTGCTGGTTAAAAAACGCAACAACATCTGCTAGTTGGTCATTCTTAGACAACAAGCCTCTGCCACAAAGACTTAAAACGACCCTAGCAATAGTTCATCTCAAGCCGAACATGACCTTTCTTAAAAAAAAAAAACTAAAAAAAAAAACTCATGCATCAAAAGCAGCACAGAGCACTGACCAGTGAGAACGATCTTCACTAGTCGGATAGCCCCAACACGCCCCTACCCTTTCAATGCTATGAGAATCCAGCAGCATCAGCTGCCATCAAAAGCAGCACAATAAAGCCCCAGGTACTGACCAGTGAGTACGTTCTTCTCCAGCCGGATAGCCCCAACACGTCCCTGTGCTCCCCCCTTCGCATCCACTGCAGGCAGCACAGCCACAGGCGAGCGGAAGAACACAAAGTCCAGCTCACGGCGGTCACTGCTGCTGCTGCTGCTGTCACTCCCGCTGCTGCTTCTGTATACATTGCTGGTGGTGGAGGTCACTGCTGATGATGTTAATGGTGGAGGTGTTGGTGTTGATGCAGAGGCGGCTGCTGCTTTGGAGAGCAGGTCAAACACGCGGCGGTGGCTGCGACTTGCCTTGAGCTCGCTCTGTGAGGGGAGGGACAGGGAGGAGAAACTGAGAGCACTGGTGCTTCTGATGGTGGTGCTGCTGCCGATGCAGATGCTGCTTTGGAGAGCAGGTCAAACACGCGGCGGTGGCTGCGACTTGCCTTGAGCTCGCCCTGTGAGGAGAGGGGGTCAAGGAGGATAAAATGAGGGAGGAGGAGAGGATGAAGAAAAAGCGAGAGGAGAGTGGCTCAGACAGCCGGGGAGAAATGCTGACAAGGAAATGGATCGAGAATCAGCTCAAAATCATTCCGCGTGTGATCAATGTGAATGCCATCAATCCTACCAATCTATGTGCTATCTGAGTGGTGATTGGTTAGGGTATGTATTGACATGAAGCGAGGCACCTATATCAAGTGCAGTGCATCTCCACCGCCCATTCCTCCTCACCCATCCCACTATCGCTGCTCACCTTCCACGAACCACACTTCGTTTTTTTACCTCATTCGTTTCTTACCTCATCCATTGGAGTCAGTGCGAAGTCCTCCTGCTTGAGCATGACATGAATGCCATCAAGTTCTGTGCAGTGCATACACACACGTGGAAGAAACAGGTGATTCGGTAAGAGATCCATCACCAGATGAAAACTGTTAAGCGGGTTTTGGCTTCTGGACCAGACGATTCATATATGAAAATATTAAGATAATCTTGAAACCTAGGCAACATACTCTGCATGAAAAGCATACTCAGCACTATGAGACACACTTAGAGCACTAGCAGCATACTTAGCACAGAAAAATTATTTAGCACTAAGCAACGTATTCATAACAGAGTAGGATACTCGGCTCAAATTTTCATACTTAGCACTAAGCAACATACTTAGCACCTCGCGAACCTCCTTGGCAGTGCAGGCGGCCTGAACCGGACCCCGCCTTCCCACCACATGCACTCGCCTTTCAAAGACAGAAGGGGAGAGGCAGGCAGAGGTCGGGAGGCAGGGGGAGGGGAGGAGTGCGTAACGTTGATTTGAAGGGGAACGGGGTAAGACGGGTATGCTTGTGCCATTTGTGAAAATTGTAGAATAAGGGGAAAACGGGATGGAAGAAAGGAGGATGGACTCCCCACGTCATGCCTAAGGAGATTGTGAAATTTCACAAATGGGAATCATGAGATTGTGAAGAGAGTACAGGATCGTGACGAGGGTACAAGTAGTGGCTTCCCTAACCAATCACGTTGGCAGTACCTCTACCTACCTCTACACTGGTCGTGAGCCTTGAGTTACTGTGGCACGTGTAGGCCTGAGGCACGTGCCACAGCAATGGGGGCTCACCGCTGCTCACCGCTGCTCACCGCTGCTCGCCGCTGCTCACCGCTGCTCGCCGCTGCTCACCGCTGCTCGCCGCTGCTCACCTGACTTGGCTCCTCGCCAGTGCCTCCAGCGCATGTTCTGCAATGTCTGCTGCCCCTCATAGCCTTCACAGACCAACACGCCTGGAGCAGTTAGCACAAGACCGTGCACCAAGCCGCACAGGAATAGAAGCGCCTACCATCACTCACCTGACTTGGCTCCTTGCCAGTGCCTCCTGTTCATGCTCTGCTCTGCAATGTCGGTGGGTTGAAGCCTATGATTCTTGAGAAGTTACCGCACACACGTGCCTTAGACCACACAGGCATAGAAACTCACCACCGTTGCTCACCTGACTTGGCTCCTTGCAAGTGCCTCCAGCGCATGCTCTGCAATGTCGGTGGGGTGAAGCCTTCATTGAGCACTTATTCGTGCATAGGAACAAAAGGTCACTGCCGCTCACCTGACTTGGCTCCTTGCAAGTGCCTCCAGCGCATGCTCTGCAATGTCAGTGGGTCGAAGCTCGCACGGTCGTCGGAGCAGCACTCTTGCCACGTCTAGGGCAACGTTACCCTGCAGGTTACAGTGCCATGGATGGGGGAATGGGGGAAGTGACGTGGAGAGAAAGAGCAGGTTGCAGGGAGAAAAGGTGATTAACAAGGCTGTGCAGGTCCAGTGCCACGTTCTTCCGCAGTGATGGTGACGCCGAGAGCAAAAGCGCAAGGGCGCCTCTCTCTAGGGGCGCATTGTGATGGCGTGATGGTGAGATGGTGAAATGGTGTGATGGATGGTGTGATGGTGTGATGTGATGGTGTGATTGGGAGAGGAGATAGAGGTAGGAAGGAATCGATGTGCAAAAGGAGAGGTGGCTCAGGAGACCATCTGAGCAGAGCAGCACACCACGTTTGGAGCAACTTCAGCAAACGGCAGAGAAGAAAGAGAGAGAAAGGAGAAAGCACAGACCTGGCCAACGACAACAGCGGTGTCAGTAGAGGTGAGGTCCACTGGAAGATTGGCGTAGTCGGGATGGCCGTTGTACCACCACACGAACTCCCTCGCGGAGAAGACTCCTCTCAGGTGCTGGTGGCGAGGAGCGGAAGAATGCAGGAGTAAGAAGTGGGAGGGAGAGAAGGGGAGACGGGATGGTGTGGTTGGGATGGCCGTTGTACCACCACACGAACTCCCTGGCAGAAAAGACTCCTCTCAGGTGCTGGATTGTGGAGGAAGGAAAAGAGGAACAAATGTGGACACGAGGAGGGGAGGTGCAGAGAGGAGGAGAAGTGGCTGGAAGGAAGGAGAAGAGGCACACCAGCATATGTGGGATTCTTTGGCAGGGAATATTCATCCTTCAGGTGCTAAGGAGCGGAGGGAAAAATAGGAGGACAAGGATGACATGGTACATCCTACGCAACTCATGCACTGCAACTGCTGTTGCTGGTGATGCTTGCAAGCTCAACATTTAGACTTTCTTAGGAAGAAAAGCTTCCTTTCTTCACCTCCCAAGGCACCTTGCGATCTCGATTGCCCTCACAATGGTACATCCAACGCTCATGCAACGTCACTACTGCTGCTGCTGCTGATGGGGGTGGTGAGCTGGATTTTGAGAGATTTCCAAAAATAGAAACTTCCCTTTTCCTCACCTCCCCTGGCACGTTGAGATCGCGGTCGCCCTCTGCTCCATACGCCAGGATGACAGCATGGTACATCTGACGCAGCTCATGCAATGTCACTGCTGCTGCTGGTGATGGTGAGGCTGAAGATGGTGACGGGTCTGATGCTGACGTGGAGGATGCTGCTGCTGATGTGGACGCCACAGGGCCGACCAGAACATTGCCAAAGTATTGGCAGCGGGGATTTTGGGCCACACGAGTAAACTGGTTGATCACATTCTGGTGAGAAACACACACAAAAAAACGAGTACAATCACATATTAGCACATATTAAAGCCCGAATCCCAGATTGCGAGGCGTGTGGATCATGCTTTTAAAACTTGACGAAGTGCAGTGTGCAAGCTTTGAAAAGCAGCGCACCTGCAATTTGGGACTTTCGGGTGCTGACACAACCCCCAGGGCGAAATACGTGGGTTGGCTGGGTTAGGCGAAAAAAACGAAATGCCCGAAATCGGAATCACTCGCCAAAACCCAAACCAGAAAAAACCCCTCGCGTCATCCGTTTAAAACTTGTGCAATTTGGGCTTCCGGCTTTAATAAACCAGTAACATGCCAATTTGGTAGAAAAACGACCAAATTTATCTAAAGATCGAATCATCAGGCCAGTCACATTCTCATGTAGGATGGCGAAAGAAGCTGAAAAAGTTGCTGACGCAATCAAACCAGACCCCAAACAATCCCGTTAGCTTCCCGCCATTGCTGCCAGCTGTTGGCCTTGCACCTTGGTTTCAGGGTGGTCCGGAGCAACTCCTGTGCGCACCAAGCCGAAGGGAGACGGGAGCCTTTCCACTATGTCCACTCGTGCCGTGTCAAACCGCTTCAGCAGCTGCAAGGGTCAGATGGGAGAGCAGAGGAAAAAGGCCAGATGAAACGACATTATAGAGCACAGTAAGGAAAGTCATTGCAAATTCTTCTGGTGTAAGTTTCACTGCTGTATGTGAGGAGGGATTCTATGGCGCTTGGAGCTTGAATTTATTTGAGAAAAACTGCTTTTATACTGAGGCTGCTTCACACGTCTTCAAGCCTAGTACTGTTTCACTTTCCATGCAATCCCTTCTTAGCCTCCTTGGGTCACGTTATGAACAACACCCTCCCTGTTCGTTTCGCGGTACCTTCTCTGTAGTATAGAAGCCTGCCGGGCCACTCCCCACTATGCAGAAGTGCAACGGCTTGTCACTGCCAGCGGTGGTTGTAACGGAGCGCCGACTGCTGAGTACATGATGGGGAATCAACCTAGAAAAAACACCACTGCGGCAGCCCGTTGCTAGACAAGTACTGTTTCTCGCAAGGATTTCTCGCCAGGTAGCGCGTAGAGCAGAATCAGATGGAGGATTCGAACCGGAGACACCACCTAATCGACCGTCACACTGTTTAACGCTTTCACGCGCACTAAACGCCGCATTATGCGCTTGACCGGGACTCGCGTCGTTGGCCAACGAATAGCACGAAGGAGAACAGAGCCGTATGAGGGTAGGGTTAGGGAATGCCACATCTGGGAGTACGCACTGCCGTGCTGCGAGCCTGGCCGAGCGACAAGGGCGGAAGCCGTGTCGATGCATACCGCTGCCAGCGAAGAGAAGCCGTTTTACGAAGTATATTGCGTTAAAAATAGCATACGGGAGATTAGCATCCTTGCTGGCTAGAGGAGCCAGAGCCAGCAGGGAGGGAATTTGAGTTGGCTGTGGGGCAGGGGAATGTGAAAATGCTGCGGGCAATTGTGTCAGGCGCGGAACGAAGGGAAGGGGAGAAAGGAAAAGGCGGAAAGGGGAGATAAATTGTAGGGTTGGGGGAAATTCCCTGGAAACGATAACGTCAGCGAAACGACATCAATGAAAACCTCTTTATACTATGCATCGAGTACCTCCATGGCGTCGTGATTTTTTTCCAGTAAAATTATTTCATGTATGCAACTTACGTGGACCTTTGTTCGAGCAGGTATTTTCGAGCTGCAACGCACTACATCACACTATGTCGAACCGTACCGTGATGAACCGTGAACTAATGTTTTTCGAACAGCATGCATTGGTCAATGTGGGATGTCTCTAGCGGAAGGGGCTGTTGATTTCAGCAGAATTGCGCGGAGATCTGTGAAGCGACTTGACGGTTCCTTCTGACAGCCGCACTTGGAGAGTCTGCTCGCCTTGAGCTAGTCCGTTCAGCTCTTTTTGTCGGAGGCTCTCATTTCCTTAGGTTACTGCATATCTGATTTGTTAGCCTGAGCCAGCGCTAGAACGACCAGGAGTTCCTAGCCGTACTGCTAATTCCCTCGTCTGCTTTTGACATGGCTGGCTCTTACGCCTCTCTCCTCTCTCTCGGTGTTGTGTTTGCGGCACTTGTTTTGGTCCAAGCCGGAGATCGCAACACTGTATACGATCCATGCAAGGATGCTGATCCTGTCCAGAAGGGCGATGGATTTTCCTTTGCCATTGGCTTTGGTGGAATGTCAGCGACATGGAATAAATCCTCTCCGTGCTTTGCCGAGGCTCTGCAGGTATCAGGAATATCATGCGACAGGGTATCTATCTGTAAACCAGCTTCTTTCAGAAACTGTTGTTACGCTGGGTATGGAGGTAAAAACAGTGTCCGCGCAGATATTACCTCCAGGCGTGGAAGTGGCCGTGTTTCGACCTAAAGTCGATGAGCTTTCTCTTCTGAGAATTAACAACGTTAGCATGGCAAGAATCAACACGACTGTAAGTGGTAAAACGCAGAATTCATGCTCGCATTTGCCGTCCTAACCCTTTTCGAAACGATGCAGTTTGTCAACAGCTCTTTGATTGTATATTCTGGAGCAAAGGGTATCGTGTCTTCTCCTCGACAATTCTTATCCCCACTGGTAACGAATTGACCTACGCAACACCTGATGATGTTTTAGTTGCCGTTGCTAGTTACCAGATTGTCCTGGACTGCCATGCAGGGACGGCTTCCTTCTCTAATCCTTATTATAAACTTCAAAGAAGGCGTTCTTGATTCATTTGTGTGGTAAAAGTCCGACGTCATCCGCTGCAACAATTTTTTATCTCTGCAAAACATTTGTGAAGTCATATTTGTGCAGGAAGGATATGGGTTGCTCAGAGTCAACATGCCAGCCTGTGAGCCCGCTGTGTGTGGACACCAGCAATTGTCTTGTTACAGAAGACAAGTGCAGTAGCATGAAAACCAGTTCTGACCCTGAAACTTGCCGCCTTGCAGTAAGGGAGCTGTTTTGACTATGATGTCTGCTACCAGTATTTTTCGCTTTGCTAACATAGAGCCGCCTTTGACAGATCAACGTGGCATTTTCCGGAACTGATAAGGATAAGAAGCCATTGCAATCATGGTACGAAGTTCAAGACCTTCAGGCATACTCATTGACAGCATTGTACGATTCAGCGAAGAACGACTTCCAAGATGCCGTGGGTGCTTCAAGCAATAATCCTGATGAAATCACCAAGGGGTAGATGGAAAGGGATATGGTATATTGCTAAGTCATAGTTCCAAACTTGTAAAACCAGTGTTACATGGATCAGTGCACTGATTGACATGCCTTGTAAACATTTATGGAATGTATTTGATATTACGAACCACTTCTCGTGCGTACAGAGGGTGTATATCCAATCCAGCCACGTAACTTGATGAGCGTCTTCCGTCAGCTCTTGTCAGCCTGGTCCAGCCACCAGCATGGTAGATGAAGGGAGAAAGTTTACAGTACAGACCAGCCATTGTTGCCAAACGTTGTCAACCTACCATCATCTGCAATCTCTATGTCTGGCGATCGACAAGCAGCCATATCTCTCTGAGTTTCATCTTTCGCATTTCTCTCTCCAGTGCATACATTGTCTCCAGATCATGTCATTTCCCGAGTCTCTTCGAAAGCATGTCTCGGATTGGACGACCACGGTGGCAGCTGGCATTCCAGACAATTTCCAAAAAGCCGTCATCAATTTCACATTACCCGATGTCTCTGCGATAAAATGGCCGTTTGAGCTTTCGGAGAAAGATTCAGCAACAGCCGCTACTGCAAAAACGCCTGAACCTTCTGGTACTAGAGCCCGATGGAGGGGCCTGTTTCCGAACAAAAGTAGCAATGGGAACGGCGGTAGCATCTGGAATCGAGGGGCTGGTTCTAGTGGTACTGGAAAAAGCGACAGTCCTAGGGGTCGTGCAGGTAGTAGCAGCAATGGCGGGGCCGGACAGAGGAGCGCCTGGGAGGACAATATGCGCCAGCAACTGGCAGTTTGGCGCGCCGATCCCGAATGGGAAGACGAGCAGCCGAAACTCGAGGTGAGGGCGTGGGAGCATAGCGAATGCTGTAGCGGAAGCGGAAAATACGGTAGCCTATTCATGATCGGTGCAATTGTGAGTGTCGTCACTGCCATCTCCCCTTGCGGCAGAAGGTACCTCCGCTTCACAACTGACTGCTGCCACGTGCCCCTTTTCCATTCTCCGTTCCCGTCCCCGCAATCGCCCTTCCCTCTCCCCTCTTTCTGCTCCCCCGTTGGTACTCTGTAACCTCCTCCCATTCACCCAGCCTTTTCCCACCGTCACTGCATTGCTAAATGTCTTGCATTCAGAGAGTCCTTCTTATGCCCGCTTGAACGTAGCATTCCGTTTTAAGCACGAACAATCTGCCACCTCTGTCTCCCCTCTGTGTTGCCACCTTGTTGAAGGTGTCGGTCCCAAAGGGCTCCTTTTGCCGAATGGACGCGCAGTTCCTGCTTGCCCTGCCCCCGGACCTCGTTTATAGCACACTCTGCGACCCCAGCAATAAAAGAGTCTTCAAGAATATTACGGTGCGTGGGTGGGTGTAGTCTTTCACAAATGGATGGTTGTGTGGGTCGGGTGTGTGGGGCTTGGGAACGAATGAAAGCTAGGGAATGTGACCAAGTATGTATGAACAGCTGTGTGCATGTATGCGCCTATGTGCCTGAAGTAAAAAATGGGAGGAAGATAACGAAAGAAAGGCCGAGTAAAGGGATAAACAAAGGGAGGAAGAAAGGGACCGAAAAGGGAGGAAGGGTTGGAGGCGGCGTTGGAGGGTTGGGGCATTGTGAAACTGGAGCATGTGTTGTGAGCCAATTGCAAGGTGCATAATCCATGAAGCCAAGTGCTTTGACTGCTACTATTCTTGAATGTACGAACACCCCTCTCCTGTTTCGGCTCTGAACCTCTCTATGCTCAAGGCGCCTGACCATGCCCTTGTTCCTCAGTTTATCTGATAGCATGCCATCAATCAAGCTGAATCTCTTGGGATGACCTGAGACTGCATGGTATGGCGTGGCATGGTATGGGACCCACGACATGGGGGGCATGGCATGGCACGGGTGATGGCATGGCATGGCACGTGGCACACGGCACATGACACATGGCACATGGCAGGATGTGAGCTACCGCAACGTGCTGTACGACGATGGTGACGTGCAGGAGGTGGAGCTGCAGCAGGGAGCCAGGTGGCGCTTCCTCTTCCTCTCAGGAACCTTTGACGTGCGCCTGAGAGTCAAGCAGGACCGACCCAACCTCAAGGTACATAGAATCGCCAGAATAATGCCACTTACCTGACCTTCATGTGTCACATGCTAATGTCTTAGATGGCGGTTCATGTTTTTAGCATTCACTTTCGCTGTGTGCTGTTGTGTCTTTTTTTTTTCCCTCCCCACTCTCCCCCTTCTGTTTACCAGATGTCGTTTAAACTTATAAGGCCCGGATTTATGAAGCAGTTTGAAGGCTACTGGCAACTAGAGCCGCTGGTTGTCCCTCCCTCCTCCTCTCTTCCTCCCTCCACCACACTTCCTTCTTCCTCCTCCCCCTCTCCTCACTCCCCCACGGCCCGCTCCCCTCGCCCCTCCACACCTCAATCCGCCCGACTGACTTTCCACACCCCCACATCAACCTCTTCATTAGCACACTCATCAAAGTCTACTGCCGATTTATCCTCTGGTGTCATTGCAACCAATGGGAAGGAGCCAGCTGGCAGCTCTTCTCCCCGGGCTTTTTTCGGCTATTTGCTAAATGAACGCCAACCGCACTACCACCATCCCCAGAATCCAATGCGGGTGGCCACTAGCGTTCAGCTTTGTCAGGTAGTGCAGCCTGCACTCACTCCGCCGCCCATTTTGTCGCACTACTTGAGAGGGATCAGCTCACAGATCACGCGGGATATGCTCAAGGATTTTCAGACCGAGGCCGCCCGGATAAGATATGATCTTCCAGTCGATGCTGATGTGGAAAAGGAGTTGGAGAAGATAAGGAGTGAGAGTGGCAGAGAGGAGAAGGAAGGGAATGGCGGCCAGAGGAGGAGTGAGGGTGAGCAGAGAGAGGGACGGACCCGATGGAGGGATGAGGTGAAGAAGGGGGTCAGGGAAAAGAAGGTAGTTCCTGGAAGTGGAATCCAGGAGACTGATAGGCAAGTTAAGGGTGGCGTTGGGAGGAGACGTCATGCATTGATGAAGTTATCGGTGAGAGAAGGGTGGTAGTAGAAGACAGTTAGAGGTAGTGGATGCCGGGTAACTCACTGCCTGTGGAGGTCACATTGGCCTTGCAACAGAGACCATCAGACTGGTTGGGTTATGAGAATTCAGGCTCCTTCCTTTCGTGAAGGCATGTTGGTCAGGTATTTTTATTAATTTATCTGTACTTACGCATTCAGAGCATACAGAAATAAATTCCACAGGCCAGACCCTAAAATGTTGGTTGGTAAAGAGAAATGCTTTCTTTTTCATTGTCGGCTGCCAAACATGTTAGGGAGAGTATTTGTGAAGGAAGCTACAGCACAATTTCATCTACCAGATATAAGAACTCCACGATTACTTGCATGTCACACTGCCACATCAGTCTCTCATTTAAATCTCATCAACCAATCGCAGCTCCCCACCGCAGCGGCCGCCACGAGCGTTCCAGATCAACTGGATTGGGACCATAGCAGAGTGATCCACTGGCGCACACACCAAACCACCTCAGCTCGCCATCATGATCCCGTGTCCGCATGCTTCACGCAATTGTTACGGGATTTGCTTCCTTCCTCCCCAACCAATCCCGATGAAAAGTTGCGCATTTCCCCGTCGAATCCTTCCGCCCACGCCGTCCGCAACCGTTTCCCCCATCCCCTTCCCCGTATGCCTGAAGTGAGAACCCTTTCCCCCGGACCCCTCTGCTCCTGAAAACCCTTTCTCCGCCGAAGCCCCTGCTCCCCACCACCTTGGGAGCATCACCAAGGGGAATCAGCCAGAAATGTTTCTCCTCGGAGTGTGACACCAAGCCAGTCAGCAGCAACTAAGGCAGAAGTCCCATTTGCTGACACAACAGTGCTTCCTGGCACTTTATAGGTCTGGAGTTGCCTGGCTATGGTGTATTTGTGGGCCATTTTTTTCGTGCTGGTATTGCAGTACGGTCGACTAGACCTACTTCGGTTCTAAGCAGACGACATTAAGTTCCTTCCGTGGCTGTTATTCTCCTAGCCCATTAGTGGCATGGCCGCCACTTTGTCTGCACGCGCGTCGTCTTCTGTTTGCGCACTAGCTCGTGCAGGAGCTAGTTCAGAGTCCCCATTCCTGAACTCCTCCGCCACACTCGTGCCGTTCGATGGCCTAAAAAAGACCTCTCTGGTGCTTTCCAAGAAGGCCTTAGCCCGGCAATCGAAGCACCGAGCGGTTGTGTCAACCGGCGTGCGAGTGGTTGCAGAGGCGGCAGATTCAACTGTCGTCACCCAAAAGAAAGAAGGGGATTTCCGGCACGAGGCTCCTCGACAGGGTAGGCCTTCGATTTTCGCCTGCACGTTGTGTGTGCATAACAGTTCCCTGATTTTTCTGGGAGTTGAATGGCCTAAACCCCGGTTACGCTAGGTACCTATGGGTCAAACCATGCTCCATCCTTCGACATTGAAGGTCAGCCAGAAGCATAGTTCTCACCCACTGAATTTGCTAGTGGGAAGCGAAATGGAATCGTACCTTTCCGACCTAGC